CTTCCCCTCCTCCTCCTCCTCCTCCTCCTTCTCCTCCTCCTCCCCCTCCTCCTCCTCGCTACACGGGTTGACTGCATCGTCGATGCGCTGGTCCCCCCCTGGCGCTGCCCCTCACATCAGGGAGCGGCTGCGCGGCGCCGAGTGGCGCTCGCGCCTCCAGCGCGCGGGCGTCGACCCCACGGGCGGCCTCACCGGGCGACGCGCCCAGGGCGCGCTGGAGATCGCCTCCGTCGACGCATTCCAGGGCCGCGAGAAGGACCCAGATCTCCGACGATCTGATTTGTTCCAATCCCGATGATTGGATTCAGTTTTTGGGGGGGAGGGTCCGAGGGCTTTCGAGGGTTATCGGGAAGCGGGGTGGCTTCCATCAGCTGCTCCTCGTCGAGAGCCCTCCTGGGATGCCAGAATCGTCCCGAACGGGGGGGCCGCCGGAGGCCCAAGTTATGGCCCGAAAACCACCCAGGCCCAGAACCCAGATTCGGCCACGCGCAGAAAAGGAGGTAGGGAGAGGGGGGGAGGCATCTTAGAAGCACCCGCTTCTTAGAAGGCGAGGGCCTTGTCTACAGATGTAGGGCCGGCGCCTTCTAAGAAGCAGCCTCCTTCTAAGAAGACCCCCCCCCTCCCCCATACCCCCTTTCCTGCGCGCCGCCAACGGATCTCCGCTGATTTGAATTTCTCCATCCCGGGGTTATTTCTTCGATTTCGGCCATCTGGTCCTGGAGCCGTCACAGATGAGCCCAGAAACTGGAGTAGGGGATCGGCTACATAACTGGTTCACCCCATGGAAAAATACATAGAAAACGACGTGGTCGTCGTATGGGCGTTGATGTCGTCGTGGGCGCTGCTGCCTCCTTTCCCTTCCTGCCTGGACCTCGTGCCCCTCCGCGGCCGCGCGCGAGCCCAACCTAGAAGCCTGGGGCCCGTTTCCGGGCCTTCTTGGGGCTCGCGTCGGGACCCTTGAGGGACCTTCTTGGCGCCCTCTCGGGCCGCCCGGGGCCCATGGAAAATCTCTTTGGGCTGGCCGTTTGGCCGACATCGAGCGGCGTTTCCGCGCCGCCCATGGGCGAGCGGAACAATTGGCGCCGCCAAGCTGGCCCACGCTGGAATCCCCAAGGGACCCGCCTGGCCGGAACACCGCCACCAAAGAGCGCCGGCCGAGGGAGGCAGCGCGTGGGTAACGAGCCCAAGCTGCCACCTCGCCCGCGAACATTGCGCGGCAGAGCGGCCAACCCGCGAGCGCCAGCCCGCGAGTGCCACGGCTCGGCCCCCCGGGGCGCCGCCGCGGCCCGACGGCCGCCCCAACCAACCAACCTTGCCGACCAGCTTAGCGAGCGACAGCAGCCAGCAGCACGGCCAACCAACTCGAGCGCCAAGGCACCCGCGAGACAGGGAGGCCGCCAATCAACCACCAACACCCAGCCGAGCAACCGAGCAGCGAGGAGGGAGGAAGAGGGCCGCCTGCCATCCAGAAGCGACCAGGCCGCGAAGATCTCCCTGCTTTTTGCGAAGAAGCGGAGAGGGACGAAAGCCAGGAGGCCCACGAGGGCTTGCCCTGAAATTGTCCTGCCCCGCAAACCGCCACGCGGTTTGCGGGCACTGAAAATCTTTGGGCCGGCCGTTTGGCCAACATCGGGCGGCGTTCCCGCGCCGCCCATGGGCGAGCGGAACAATTGGCGCCGCCAGGTTGGCCCGCACCGGAATCCCCAAGGGACCCGCCTGGCCGGAACACCGCCACCAAAGAGCGCCAGCCAGGGGGGGCAGCGGGTGGGTAACGAGCCCAAGCTGGCACTTCGCCCACGAACATTGCGCGGCAGGGCGGGTCCCGTGGCCAGTCAAACTGCAAGAGCAGAGCCGGCGGAAACACCGAGCATGCGCGAGGCACGTGCTGACGCGCTCGGAGAGCGTATTTTCCTAACGCCCACTGCATCCGAGCGCGACTAGATGTCCTCGCCGCCCTCCAAGCAGAATATTCGGCCAGCCACTGCGCGTCCGCGACCTCGCCCGTGGACCGAGCCGCCGCGTAGCCGAACGCGGCGAGCCCTCTCCAGCCCCCAGACCAGAGTTGCGCAGAAGGTCCACCAGGACGTAGCGCATCATCTGCGAATCCTCGCCTGAACGCGCGCGCGCCCCACTGCCGCGCCAGGGGCAAGCCGAGCGCCACGGCCCCAGCTCTGACGAAGCCCAGCGTTTCCGCACACCGGACGTGCGCAAATCGCCCTGAGGCCGATTTCATTGTTTCTGCCACCGCGCAGACGCCACACAAGCCGCGGGCACAGCATCTGCGCACAAGCACTCCCGCGTGACATCCACTGGGCTGTTATAGCATTTCCTGCGCATGAACGTTTGGACGCCTTCAGTGCCATTCTGTGCAAAGCGGAATGGGGCAGCAGCCGACCCCAGAGCCAGCGTCTCGGAGCATCGCAAAAAGAAATGTTTCGCCACCGCCCAGGACAAAACCAGATCACGCCGCCCCGCTCCAGACGCCCAACTGATCAGCACC